AGCAGAGATAATTGATCATTATAGGGAAAAAGCAGTTCACTTGAGTAGCACATTTCAGATAACTTCAGTGTACAAAAGTACATGGCATACAAAATAAACCTCAGTGAACGGTACTGAGGAGCATTCAGGTTGGTTTGGATCTGTCTTCTCTGAATCTTAAGTGTTTGGATAATAAATCAGGACAGAAGCATACTGGCTATCTCACAAAAATAACTGCTGCCGTTTTAGATGCATCAGCAGTATGTGTTTTGGCAACCATAACCATCATAGCTTAGAACCACCTAACAAATCAGTCATCCTATCTTAAATACAAATGAAATTGTAGGGACTTGCAGTATCGTTCCTTTGCAAGATAAAGGAGGGGTAGACGAGACGTTTATATTCCCATCCTTTCATTTGCTTATACTTCAGGGTCTCTGATTATCTATTGCTGTTTTATTCAGTGCAGCTGAGACTCGTTATCTCCCCTGTGATTTTTGAGGTCAGATCTTAAGTTGGATGTGTGATACAAATAATTCCCTCACATAATTTTTTCAGATATAAGAAAAAACAGGTTGCTGAGGAAAAAAAGAATCTGTTCCATTACAGAGGTTAGTAAATGAAACAGGCACAGAGCTAGTCAGATGTGCTGTCTTCTTAGTATTTTTTAAGTATACAAACTATAAAGAATTGTAGGGGAATTTCAATTATCATTTTGAAGTTCTTACTGTTGCTGCTTTGCACAGTTCTTAAGTTCAATGTAGATGCTCTCTTGGGAAAAGAGAGCCATAATGCTTGAAAAAAAGAGAGCTGCTGGGTTAAAAATCTTTCCTTGAGATTGTATGTGGAAAGGTAACTTCGTGGAAAACCTCCTGTGTCACCCGAGAAGACTTTTCACTCTCTACTCGCTCATCTGACAGTTCCTTTAAAGACAGAATTATACTGGTAGTTTTTGACAGGCTCTTTTAGCCAGTGAAAGAAATACTGTCTGCATCTGTTTAGCGAGTTTGAAAATGGTAAGTAAATTATAAGAGTGGCTCCATGAAGAGTATTTAATGTTCCTTCCTTTCTTCCCTGCCTCTTCCCTGCATTCCCACCCCAATCTAATTGCAAACATGCTTTTGTAAAAGATGTAGCTTTAATGTAATGATGGCCAAATATAACCAACTTGTTCTGATGAAAATCAAAATGGTACTTTGGACAGAAATGTGTTTTCATCTGCAGTCCTGGCCATAGGACTGCAAATTACTGGGCTGTAATGGCATGCTGCCACTACCATCTTTGGAAATAGATGACAGTAATTGCAAAACGCCTTTCCAAAACATCAGAAAAAATTACTTGCACCTAATGATCAGTTTCTTCCTAAATTCAGAAGCAGGGGCAAGTAGAAGAGCCTGCTTGGAAGGGAGTAGATTATTTAGGTGAATGAATATTTATAAAAAATAAGAATACCGTCAGCTCATGAAAAGTTCCTGTGTGTGTCCAGATTTGCAGCTTCCATTCACAGACATGCTTTTTGTCAGGCATACCACCGCTACCATCAACAACACAATCTTTTTCACAAGGAGAGCTGGTAGAAGAAGGAAACCAATTAAACTACAAAGTTTGTTCTTTATTTTTTTGTAGGCCTAAAAGGTGTAAATTTCATTCCTCAGACCATTGAAGGCAGTCACTTCTTTGACAAACAGAATATGCTAACTAGGGATAAGGTGGATATCAGATATAGTCAGCATGATGCAATTCAGCTCTTTCCCAGATACCCAAATGCCCATTTCTGTAAAGGAGTCACTCAGAGAGATTGCTAAAAACTAAGGTTTTCTATTCTAAGAAATTGTAGAGAGGCAATTAAAAGGGAAGTGTTTCTATCTGAAGTACCCCTAATTCTAGAAAATTATAGCAGTTGAGATCTAGGTCAATAAAGTACAATTTTCATTGTAAAATTCTGGTTCATTTTGTTGTACATCTAAGTTCTTCCCTCCCAAAATATATATCAATATTGAAGACTGATCATAATAATTAACACTGGTCTGAAAGTTTCATTATAATAACATACATTGCTCAGACAAGTAGTTTTTAAAGCTGCGTTTTTCCCATGTGTAATACAGCATACGGCTTTCTGCATTTATGAGATATCATACACTGAACTAGATAAATGGTGGCATTGCTACAGACTAGGTATTCCATAGGGAAACATCCCATAGGCAAGGAAGTGATGCTTTTTTGATTATGAAGTCCTTCCCCAGCATGTAGGAAGCATCCATCATTCACTCATGTTCCTTTTCTTATGTCCATGCAATTAATGGGGCTTGGGAGGAATAGTTAGCTACACCTTGTGCTTGTAGGGTGTTAAGATCAGCTGAAAAGGTGAAACAGTACCTGGTGAATTGAAGCTCAGAGTGAAATAAAGGTCTTGTATTTTTATACTGCATTCTGCAGCAATAAGTTCAGATTACTATAACACCACTATCACCATTTTCAGTAAAGAAAGTCGCATGAATTGGTATGAAGTAGTATTGTCAGTAGATAAATGGCCAGCCTCTAACCCACCACCATTTGTATCTTCTGGCAGTCAGTCTTAGCAGTTACTAGGAAATCAAAATGGAGTGCCTTAACACACTTGTGTTCGTGAATGATGAGTAAGAAATCAGGGAATTGGTCTGTTTAGCAGTTTTAATACAGAAAGCTTCAAAGACTTGTTGAGTTTAAGGGCAAAGTATTTTGGCAGAAAATAAACCCCCTTGCATTCCAGCATGTCCGAGGGGCTGGGAGCGGTTAGGCTTAGATTACGAGTGATGCTCAATGAAGCGTTAGAAGTCTGGTCATGTTCAATATGTTAATTGAACTATCGTGATTCTTGATGCACTAATAACACCATACACAATTCGAGCTAGCAGTGTTCCATGAACCAGCATGGCCACACTTAAGGAGTTTGGTCATATTCACTATGAACTCTCACAGCTAGATTAATGAAAAGTGTAATTTATTGAAGCAATAGATGCACAAGTTCTTTTGGATTGCCAGTGATAGTTAATGTCTGCAAAGCACGTGCAAATCCTAAGGATGTTAGTAATACAGCCTGGCTACAAACACATTAAGTTATAAAGCAACTCTATAGAGATTTCTAAGTTTCCCAGGGAAGCATTTGGTATAGCCAAGTGTTCGAATCTTACCCACAAGTGTCCTTATGGGGGGAAGAGAGGCTCAGCCCGTCCACTGATCCCAGAAGTCAGGGGTGGTCAGCAATGGTATTTCTCTGACCGCGATGGTACCCTCCCTGGTATCCTGTCTCTCTTAAGCTATCTTTATACTATTTTTTACCTTTCAGGTGGAGCTTGAGGAACTCTAGTCATACATACTTCTGTTATGATTGGTGTAAAATTTTCTCGCTTTGCTTTTAAAGGTATGGACTACGAAAAATTCGGAGTGCAGGCTCTGTGAGGAGTGGTCGCATCTCTTGGGCAGGTGGCTTCTGGGATGGAGGTGTGCTTTGGTATTGTAATGACATTATAATGAGCAAAGTTCACGCAATTCTGTCAAAAAATGACAGATTGTTGGCTCAGGGTAGCAGTCAGGCAGCTTATCAGTTCTATAAGACCTTTAAGCTCCCATTTTATCACAGAGTTTTGGCTGCGATGTCTCCACTCAGCTCCATCCCCTGCACTGTTTTTCCTAGAGTTAGCAAACCAGACACCCCTGATGTCACCAACATCTAAGTTTGCCCAGGGAAATCCCTTCCACACCAGCTGTACTCTGCCCTGAAAGTTTCGTCGATGCTCTACCTTTCTTCAAAATGTGAATATAAGTTTAATTTCTAAATCACATACAGCAGTTATTCCATGAGACTGACCTCTTTGTATAATACACCAAGAAGTGACAGATTTGCTGCTCTGGATGTGCAGAAACTCAGTTTTGGCATTCCCTTTAGCTACTTCTCATGGTCAGAAAGGCTCCTATGTCCTGTCCCTCTGATTTCATAAGCCTTGAGCCATGTTTAGAAAGAAGGAACAAATTTGACCAAAGGTTAATATTTAAAGAAAGAAGTTTTCCTCCCACCCCCAACCCCCCAAGTTATTGAATGGAAATTAATCAAAGGAAGACTAAGAAAATGTAGTTTCAGAAAAATGTGTAGTATTAAGAAATAGTCTGTTCAGGTGCTTCATTTATGTCAGGCCAGTAAGGTATACAATGTTGATTGTTTAGGAATAACTAATAATTTAACTAAAGATAGTCTGTAATGGAAGTATTTTCAAATAGATGCTCTGTGTATTTAAGTTTTAATTTGATGCTTGTGTTGACCTCTGTAGCTCCAAGGGTGTATTTCAGTAGTGCAGGTTTTCTAAGACGTAAGGATTCTGTTGCCGTATTTCTTTTTCCAGAGTCATATCATCTTCGTTGAAATTTAATTAATTTGTTGGCTGGAAATCCCTGTTGGCCAAGTACCGCCCAGAGGTTTCTTACTGTATTTTTTGCTGATTTTTAGGCATCTTCATTCCAGCATTCCATGACAAAGCAGAGCTCTAATAGAAGGGCTCAAAGTTGCTCTGTGAGTGGATCCAGAGAGGGAGTGTGCATACAGCATGGCCCTGGGAATTGCAAAACCCATGCTCTTGCCTCAGTTATCATTGACTGCTGTGTGCCTATACTGTACCTGTTCTCTGTTTGTCCTTGTTTCTTAATCCAAGTGTCAGTGCCAGTTTCTTATCCAGGTACAATACCAGATGAGGACTGAGTGCTCTGTACGTATCTTTCAAGAACATTGTTAAGTTTTCTTTAAAAGCTTTAGAAAATAAGTAAAATGGTTTCTAAAGTCTGTGGGAGAAAGAAAAGTTATGTAATTGTGCAGTATTCTGAGAACTGAATGAACTAAACAGAACTTAACTGACCTTGATTCTCTACTTAAGGGTTCTCCTGTACTGACTGTGTTCTTTTAGGTCCAACATGATTTCTGTAAAGGTGACATTAAGAGATGTCTGATGCTGTAAAAAAATAATGGGCTGTTTCTCTCTTCTTCTTTTGCGCAGTTTCGGTATGAATCATGATGGAATTGGAAATTCCTGTGGGACCAAAGGTCATGAAGCAGCAAAGCTAATGGCAGCTCATATTACAGCAAACACCAACCCTTTCTCTTGGTCAGCCTGCAGTCGGGATTACATCACCAGTTTTTTAGAGTAAGTAATCTCTCAAGAAAAATAATGAGTTTTCAAAAAATTGACACCTTTCAGCATAAATAGTAGAGATATAGTGACCTGTTCTGGTGGTTTACATTTTTGGAATGAACAGACAGAAATACAGCAAGTTGCTTAAGATTTTTATTTCATAGAGCACTTTTTCTATGTAGTGGCAAAAGCTGCTTCTGCTCCATTGCCCACATTACAGTTCTCATTTTTAATCTATTCAAAACATTTTGAACTGCTGATCATATCTTGTTACTTCATTAATCTGAGGGTTAGAAATAGAGAAGGCTGGAATTTGTCTATGAATGATGGGAAGTATTGTTTTTTTAAATACATGTGTACTGTGAGGGAATCTAATGAAGGGTACAAGGTTGTAGCCCTGTTCCTTGAAGATTTCATTCTCCAGATTTTTTCATGCATTGTCATGGGTTTTTGTCTGTCAATGTTCTTTGGTACCATAGGAGAGAATATAAAGATTATAGGAGAGGATGGCATAGATCTTTATATTAATGCCTTAAAATTGTGCTAATCTGTACTTCTGTGGTAATTTTTATCCAGAAGTAGATTGCTACCTGAAATTTTACTTCTTTATGAAAAAAAATGGTTCAGTCAAAATGTTAGTCTCAAAAATGTGCTCATAGCAATGTATACATTGATATATATGATGCATAATGAAGCCTTTGTATGTGTTTTGAATTGTGGAAGAGAAACAGAACTGTGAGTTCACTGAGAGCAGGTTAATAAAAGGAGTTTTTAAAATGGCATAAGACGAGCTTTATGGGGGCAAATGGCAGTTGGCTGGTAGGTTCAGTGTCATCAGTGCAATCATTCCTTTACGAAATAAAGGTTGTTCAATAATTCAGACATTTACTGTGTTTTAGGAGATGGGCTTAAACCGGTCAAGTGGTCTAACCATGAGACTACTAAGAATAAAATGAACTTCTCTTCCTCTTTCAGGGATCTAACTTTGAATAAGGTGCTGTATTCTGGATCTTACCTGAAGGGACCCATCCAGACCGATATGTTTTCTTTAAGCTGGTTTGAATCTAGCTTCCCACACAGTGTAGAGGATCACTGAATTGGTCTGGAGAGGCTTCTGAGCTCCCTATAGAGTTGGTGGGCAGTGACAGATGTTTAATGTTGGTGCTGTTCAGAGGAAAAAAAAACTTTTCTTCAGTTCTTGTATCAGGTTAAGGCATTTTGTATCACCCCACTGAACTGTGAACCCACCCAGTTTTATGTACTGAAGCATTTGAGTGTTGAAACTAAAGGCCACTGAATAATTCATCCTTACATCCATTCATATGATATAGGTTTCTCACAATATAAATTGATTTTCTCAGGAGAGATATGTATGTAATCTTTTAACAGTACGATTATAAAAAAAATTATACAGGGTAGTTTAGTTTTATCATTACCAATAATTCCTGTTAAGTCAACACTGTTCCCATTAGTAGTCTTCCTAGTGTGTCATGCAGCCTAGCTTTAAATATAACGACGGATATGGGTTTTGCATGTCTTCTGAGGAATTATTTCACAGCTTGGCAGTTCTGTAAGCTTACACTTCAGGTATTTTCTTGTAGCATTTGGGGTTTGTTTCTTACTGTTACCGTTCTCCTATTCTATGTCTCATTTACTTCTATTTGTTGCTCTTCTCTGAACTCCATTTTGATCCCATAATTGTCCTGACAATAAGTTGTCTATCAGTGAAGACACAGTTCAACAGATAGCTAAGAAGTAATATCTTATTTATGGGTTTAGAGAAAGAAATATGGTAAAATTCTGTGGCTTGCATTATGATGCAAATGTAATAGAGCTGAACATATCTTCATAATGTTCCCATACAGTTTTGAATTTCAGTCTGAACAGACATTCTTGTTTCTTTACTGGATAGGTATGCAGTGGTCTTTCAAATTTTTACTGCCATTTAAAAACATGTTTAGTTTGTGCTTGCTCTACTTTGTTTAATGTTTTTGTTTATTCTATTATTTACTGTTAGCATCTCCATTATTCTTTTCCATTCTCTAGGTTTGATTGTGAAACTGTATTTATGTTAGCATAAAACCAGAATAGTACTCTGGTGAATCTGTCCCCATAGTTCTAAACTCTTCAGGTTTTTTGAGATATTTCTCTGCCATTGCCAGTGTTAGCAACTCTACTCGAATTACTACCATCTGTGAATTTCATAAAAAAAAATTACTGACGATACTAAGTGGTATTTGAGCTAGAGTAAAAAAAAATAAAATCTATGCATAGCAGCTTCAATAATAAATTATCTTCTATAATATTTTAGCTGTATTTTTGTAACGCAGAATGTAGATGTTATTTTTTTTAAAGCCACCTTGGATAAACATTATTTTACGCATTGCAATTATGAATAGATTTTCCAATTGTATAGGATACTGTGTTAAATAATGTACTGAGCCAAAGCTAACTTCTCCTTCATCTACTAGTTTTGCAATCTATTTTTAAAAATGTCAGATTTCTCAAACATGATCTGTTCATTATAAATCTGTGCTTCTTACTGTTTGTGGTTCTAATATCCCATAAATGGATTGATACTTTTTTCCTTAAAATAGTTGTTTTATCATTTCATGAAGTAGAATAGGCTGTAAAACTGCAGGGTTTTTTCTCCATTTTCTAGTTTTTTCCCCAGCTTTTCATGTCATTTCCTCAATGATGGCAGGAAGCTTTTGAGATAGAGTTACACAGGTAGCTGCAGGACAGCTGTCAGAAGGCTAGATCACTTCTTTTTACTCATTCACACCTTTCCTTAAGGCAGAACAGCTTTAAGAGGAGATACGTTTCTGTTGCAAGTAATGATCAGTCAGCAAGAACCAAAGAAAAATAGTGAGTTTCATGTGGTAGCAATTCCCTGACTGCTGGTGTAACAGCAGAAGAGTCTGCATGCAGACAGGAGAAATGACTTCCATTTTTTTTTCTAATACTAATTTTTTTCTAAGCCTCAAGATGTTGTCATCTGTGTCTCCTGATGTTTATTCCAGATAAATTAGACTCTGCCCCCTTTCTTTCCATTTTTCCTCAAGACTGGGAAAACAGCTGGGACAGGACCCAGTAGACTACAAACAAGGAAGACAAGTGGTTTTTTTCTGTGCTAAATGAGTATGGCTAGTTTAGGATTCATTTAGCTATGTCTAACAAGAAAGATAGGAGACCATGGGATGAAATACTGATACCCAAGCAGAAACCTGAGGCTATGAGTCTGCACAACTGCTACAACACCTTTTAGATTTGTCAGCTTGGATCTGGATACAAGTTTGGGCAGGGCTGTCATGGCACCAGGATGATGCAACTGGAATGAATTTCACTAGAATCTCATTATGTGTTCACAGTATTATATGGCTAGGTAGATTAACATGGATTTACTAGATTCCCAACTTAGATCACCACTTACTACATCAGTTTTGCACTGTGTGCCATTTTGTAGTGTAGATACCGCATTGTCCTTTATCATCAAGCAGAAACATTTTGAAATAGAAGTCATCCTGGTGACACTCAAAGTACAGCCTCACATTCATCCTTCTCTTCCTCAAGACTTTCTTAAAACTACACTCAGAAACAAATTTTCCAGACTGAGGCTACTGAGGAATAGCCATTAAGTGTCACTTGGAAGGTATCAATTCAGTCAGGCATTAGTTGGGAAAGCAATTTATTTTATAGGATGGACAGATAGAAGATGAATATGGCTCAAAGAATGACAGTAAGACAAAGCAAAGCTATGTATTGCTAATAGATTTATCAAAACTCTCAAGAAGGAGCACAGGCTCTGAAATAGTCAAAGAAAACAATTTTTTACTGGGGAAGACATTCCTTCTAGTACATAATAGCTGTTGTCTGTCATGCTTTGTGTTAGAGCCAAAGATTGACTGAATTCAGTTTATCAACTGAATTGTTCATAACTGCTTTACAATGGCTTTAAATTTCACTAACTTTTTCTGGAATTAAATGCTAATGTATACTTTCCTCCATATTGTGGAGGAAAGTATACATTAAGGAAATAGCATATTACCTACTACCACTGAGAATTGAAGGGCTGACGACCAGTGTCAGAGAACACAGATTCCTGTGAGAGGAGTAGAAGCCCTGAATATCTGTTCATAGGAGAAACAGACCAAGGCTAAAAATATTATTTGTGACTGAAACCCAATTAGTAGAAATTTCATTCTATGCAGGGTGTATGTATAGAGATATAAAAAATACATATAACATGCAAGTTTTATTATGTCCAAATGTGCCTATAGAGCCATGCAGATACCTAGATGTAAAGAGGAGAGTTTTTTGCTTAGACTTTTTTATTCAGCTACTTTTATGTTTTGTAATAAGAAAAGCTGGGTGATTTCTGAAATCATAGTTCATTAATCTTGTCAGTATCAGATAGGAGAAGAAGCCAGATGGCCAACTCTGTCTTTCAAAGGCAGGTTGTCTTTTGAAGATGAATGGAGAAGAACAAGGAGTCTTTAAACTATTTGAATAAGTAAGATCTATCATGGAAAATTCTTGGAGAGTCTCTAGGATTGCCATACAGTGGGATTTAGATCTGAGACTACACCTTTCTAACTCTGGAAGGCAGCCAAAACTACCTTGGTCCAAGCAAGCCCATGTAGACAATATAAAAAAATCATCCAATGTTTGGGCCCAGACATCACATTTCCAAGAATTTTGGGCATACAAGTAGATGCGCAAGATAAATGTAGGATACGCCTGATAAATGTAGGATACGCCTATGTATGCCTCATATGCTCTCTATGGCAGATTGGCCATTCATTCCCCTGATGCTATAGAAGTCTAAATTAACTTTTAAAAAAAGTAGAAGCCAAGACTAGTTTTGAAAGATAAAGTCACATCGATCATATCAAAAATTAGTATCTGTCTGTACAAATCAATGGAGAAAATTTACATTCAGTATTATCGGTTGACCTACACTTTGTATTATAATTTGCTTCTTTTTTTCTGGGATTTTTTTTGTAGCTAAAAGATAACTGAATAAAAAGCGTGTGTCCCCAATTACTGTAGATTTCTTAAACTTTGAAAGTCTTAAGATACTCTTAAAAAGCTACCCAGTTAAAAAAAACCAACCGTTTCTGTAATCAGGGGCTGGCAATATGTTTTTGAGTATTGACTTTGCAAGTATTATCTTGTCTACATCTTGGGTTATTTAAATTTAAAGAAATTGTAAAGAGCAGAATCAGCAGCAGATTCCCATTAACTTATTCATATAATGTTTGATGAAATAAATATAGAACAACAAATTGGCCCAATATTTTATAGCTTAGTGTCTCCCAAACTCTTGAGGCCAGATACCAATAGGTTTAGGTAAGTGGATGATTTTGATAGAGGAACCAATACATTTTTCCTAATATGGCTGCTGGATAATTATTCAAATGAATAAAAGAATGCTTTGGAATACAGACCATATTGTGGAGGAAAGTATACATTAAGGAAATAGCATATTACCTACTACCAAATAAAAGAAAAATTGAGTATTGTGAAACGATTGTGCAAAGTTAGTCTTTGCAATGAAACAGGTAGTAAGACATAAAGCCAGCCTTGCATAAAAGTTTGGAAGAAAGTAGAATTTCTCATGAGTGAGTGGTAAATCCACATCAATATCTGAATTTCCCTAACATACACGAATGTTTTCATTTAGTAATCCTATTCTGGTTCATTTTAATTTTAAACATACCACTCCAAATCACACTTCCATTACATATGCCCTCCTTCTGCAAGTATTTATGTTATTATCTGTAGACTATTGAGCAATCTGCAGAGTTTATTCATTAATGTCAAGTTAAGCAGCTTTTGTAACCTGTACAGAAATATATCCTGGTGCTTTCTAAAAATCAGTTTTTACTCAGGAAAAGTGTGTAATAAATATGAAGTAAGGATTCTGTTAGGAGCCAAATTTTATATATAGGCATGTAAATTATTCAGGTTTTTATATGTATGTGTACATATAAAATGCACTATGTTTATAGTTAATAAATTTTTTTATTTTTTCCATATTTATGTGGATAATTTGGCAACAGCGTTAAATAAAATATTATGTATACTATCCATCCATATATTTATCTGTATGACTGTTTAGCTATAACAGATAATTACAAATATTTATAATACATTTATGATTGTTAATCATAACTTGCATTACAGTCCCCATCATTATTATGAATGAGCCAATTCTGTAACATTCAAAAGCTATTTTCAGTGCCAGTGTTCTGGGATATTTTCTTCAACCTTTAAAGGTGTTATGTTGTACTGTGTACGGTCCTGACATATTTGGGAATAGATACTGTAATAGGAGCATAAACCCTGAAAGGGCTACATCCATGGGTTTTGCTTTTTCTCTTTATTGGCCTAGGATACAACAGCAATGTCTGTGCAGAGGTGATGATCTTCAGTTTGTAAAGATGCTAATATTGAATCTCTCATTGCTATTATTTTGGCCAAGCAGTTAGCAGTGATAGCATGTCTGATATCTTAAGTTTTCAGAGAATGCTCTAGTATCATTGATATCCTTGCAAACAGATTAGTTTGCTATCCTGTGATATTAAAATACAAAACAATGTTTAAATTATGTTGTAGATTGCTTTACAAAGATTTCCTGAGATACTACACTGGCATACTGGGATGAAATGACGTCAAGCTTAGCTATTTCATAATTGAAATCAGTCCCACTATGTCCCGTAAAACCCCATGAAGTCAACCTAAAATTAGGAAAATGAGAAAATCTTTGAGTACTGGTAGTATCTTGTGGAGTAAATGGAATGTAAGGATGAGTTTGAGATCATCTTACTTCTATTGCAAACACTGAAGATTTATCCACTCCCTGTTCAAAAATGTAAATATTCTGCAGGGATATCCTGTAGATTTTTTGATGTTGTATATTCTTCCTGTATAATATAAAATCACAAAGCACAAAAGCAATTGTGAGTAGAAATTTTCTTAAATGGCAGAGATGAAGATATTTGCAGATTCTTTTCCTTCCTGTTATCTTTTTTACATCTACACAAAGGGCTTTTTTGACTTCTGTAGGCCTGATTGAATATAACTATTAGACCTCTGTTTATAAAGCGCTCCAATGCCCTTATTCTTCTTGCACACTTTTGGTTCATTCCCCTAGATTTAGCAGATATCTTTCTCAAGTGTCTGGCTTTTGCTTTGTTGGAGGGAGCAAAGAGAAAAAGGGAGAAGAACAAGGACATAGACTCGAGAGTATTACACCATTCCTGAGTCTAGTAGAAGTGTTTTGGAAAGGTTCAGGTCCTCAGCCTGTATTCATCCTTTGCACAGCTTTGGTGAGACCTTTTATTACCAATGGAAATTCCCTGGTCTTATTAATGTGTGTTATAACACATTCTATTTCTTTTCTGAAATACTTCAATTCACATGAGATTCTCACACTAAGTTTGTAAAATATGTCAGTTCTGTTCAACTAGTTGAGAGAAATAATAGAACTGAAACAGAAGGAAGAAGAGACATTTTTAGTCGTAGACGTGGTGATGTAACGTAGCTAATAAGTGAATGACTGCTTAGTAGTCATTTTCTTGCTTTTTTACTACTAGAACAATATTTCATTATTGTGAAAATCCCGTTAGAGCAGAAGAGGCACATTTTTGTATTTACTTCACAGATTTTGACTTACATTTCTGCAATTACATGTCTTGTAGAGTAGGTGTAGACTTTAATTTACAAGTTAGTGAATTTAAAGATTCAGATCAGATTCTGTAATCTAATCTGTGCAGGGTACATACGCCTATGGAGAGAGTCACCAAAGGTAATGAGGGGTTTTAAATGCTGTGCCCTTGGCTGTCTGTTTACAGGACCACAGTTTACCGACCAAACTCTTGCACTATTGGAATTGATGGAAATGTTCCCATCATATGCAGTACTAGCTCAAGCTGATGTCAAATGGTAAACTTCATGGTGCTTGTTTAAGCAAAGTTCCTATCTACAGTTTGGTCCAGACAGTGAAGAAAAATCAGATTGCACTTCAGTTATTTTCATATTGGAGTTATTAACATGTGCTCCTCATACATGCAAAATACAAGACTGAAATATTTTGAAAGAATGTAGGATAGTTTCCCAACTTCTGCTGTTAGAAAATATATACGCTTGAAATAATTAAAACTGGAATAAAGGAGCAAGTACATTATTTTTTATGCCAACCACACAGTTGACATTTTAAAGGTAGATTTCAGCTGATGGTGGGTGTGGGTGTGGGTGTGTAGGGATGTGTGTGTGCAGGTGAATCACACTAAATTACTTGGGATGAGTGATCGAATATAATATTTTTTTGTGTATTTACCTGGTTATTGCCTTAGTTGCTGTTTGCCTTCTTCTGAAATGGTCAGCGGTTGGGGTTTTTTTTGTTTTTCCAAAGGGTTTATTGTAGTATTTCAAAGAATTTAATAAAATAGGGTTAAAATGAGAACATAAAATGTGTAGTTAAAGGGGGCTTTTTTCTCTTTTTTTATCTGCAGATGAAAAGTATATAAAATCTGAGATCTCCAAAAAACAGTGTAGAACATTCACTTCTGAAATTATGTTCCTTTGGCAAGGTGCATGGAAAAAAACCCATAAGTGCTGGCAAAATTTGTAGGAATGTCGGAAAAAAATTTTAAAGTGTTGGCGTAAGAATTCTTTAAAAATGCTCACTTATTGACATGTGAAATGAAAGTAAAAAAGCATCTGTCCTCTTTTATGCACACTGCCTAAATAAAACTGAATCATTATATTTAGCAAAGTACAAAGTTTTCTAAACAGAACTCTTTCTGCATTTGGATTGCTTTGTTATTTATTCCACTACACTAAAATATTGTGGTAGGATATGGGCATATTTTGGAAAAAAAACCACCAACCAACAAACAAAAAAGTGAATATAAAGAAAGAAATATTAAATTTTTCAGAGATGATGATTTTAGTTCTAACATGAAATTGTTAAGACTAGAAGAGATCTTGGATCTGTACACATTTTTTCAGTTGCCCTAGTCTAGGTAAACTTGAAGATCCTGCAGAATTTTTACCACCATAACTATTTCATTCACTCAAATGGAAGGAAAGCATGCATTTTAAGGTCCTAATCCTATAAACATTTAGTCATATTGAAATTTAAATGTATTTTATATAAACCACTTGAGCTGCTTATATCTTTGGTTGTACTTAGCTGTTTGAAGGATCAGAAGGGTCGTTAAGAATTGTAAACTGAATTTCTTTTATTTGCTTAATTTGTTTATTTTTCATTCTATGACCAAATGTAGCTATTCTTCAGTGAAAACAAATAGGAATCTTAAAACAAAAACGAAAATCAGTCTTGTGTGGCTCAGAAATTATCACACTTTAAAAAAGGATAATGTATGAAATCTATTTAACAATCTAAAATAAGCATTTTTGTTAATAAAATTATTTTAATCTCTTAATTCCCTCTAATTATTTTTTATTTTTACTATGGGTGTACCATCTTACTGTTTGTTTATTGCAATCATACTTGTTTCACACCCAGTGCTGTTAAAAGTAAGAGCTAGGTACATGATATCATTACTGTGATTTACAGTCAGTAGAATTCCTAATTCCTTTGGTCCTTTATGTTGAACAGTTCAGGCCGTGGTACTTGCCTTGATAATGAGCCTCCCAAGCGTGACTTTCTTTATCCAGCTGTGGCCCCAGGTCAGGTGTATGATGCTGATGAACAGTGTCGCTTCCAGTATGGAGCAACATCCCGCCAATGTAAATATGGGGTAAGAAGTCTTAATCCTTATGCTGAGTGTTCTGATTAGTCATTTGTATATATTCCTTTATAACATAAATCTTTAGTTAGATGCAGTAGTGGGTTACAAATTTCCGATAGCCTGTCTGGTGCCATCACATGTAAGCAAAAGGTACATTTTAATCCTTATGCTGCATCTTTTGTGTGAGTCATTTGTATGTACTGTACACCAAAATGTGTGGGTAACAATAAGCTGGGGAAAGCATTCTTTAGTTTTAGGAAAAAAAGGAGCCCAGAACACTTGATCCTGCTCCTTGTAAAGTGTACTACAGAATTTTCCCTGATTTCAATTAAATGAGGTCAGGTTCACATTGTATTAATCTTGAAACATGAAATCTGTTGTGTTGGCTTTAACTTCTCAATTTAAAGCTACATTTTGACATTACTTTTGTACTTGTATTCATTTGTCAGGTCTGGTTTTATTTTCTTTTTTTGTTTGTTTGTTTGTTTCCTGACTTTGGGTTTATTGTTTCTCACATTGTTCAGCTCTTTTTTTTGAAAGATGAATTACACTTATGGGAACAGAGGAACATGAAGCTAGATAGCTAAATAGAATACTGAATAACTAAGTACTAGCAAAGCTTTGGCTGCAAGTACCAGTGTGTAATAATAAAGGTAAATAAATTTACAGTAGAAATAAAAACCTGCACACTTAGGCCATTACACAATAGATTTATAAATACTTACTTAAAATCTTGCACCCCAAAGTATGTAGTAAAAGAATGCATTCTGCTGTGCTTGTCATCAAATAATCAGCTGAGACTAAATTAAATAAACCTTGAAAGCATAGGTAGTGGTTTAAAAGTAAATAGTTTTAATAATATTTTAATTTCTAGATTATTCAAATAAAACAATACAGTCATTGAGTTTATACTCTATTTACTTCTATAAAGGCTAGCTACAAAGAAAGTTCAGTTTTAATATCCCTGGGGTGATAAATACAGTATTGTTCCTGGGATGATGCTTTGGCAGATCACGTTGTGCAAAGGATTTAAAAGCTCTATGTAGCTGGCTGACTAGCTCATTGGGTCTTCTACTCCTGATCCCTCATCAAACCTCTTTTGGCCTTCATTGTTCCTCTTTAAGTTCTCACTTTCCACCGCTGTTCTTTAAGGGCCCTTTTTCCTGTCACTACATCTAAGTCATACCTTTTTTTTTTCTTTTCTTTTTTCTTACAAATTCTCACCACACACACTTTTTTATTTTCAGACTAAGGAAATCTGTAGGTATTTAATCCATGATTTATAGCACAAGCTTTAGAGATACACTACATTTTAAAGTAAACTGGAAAGTAATAATGTGCAAAACCTGGCTTTTCCTCGTGTATGTTATTTTTTTCAAACACCATTAAACTATGTAATCATTGTGGTGATCACGCTGCATAGTACACTTTCTTAAATGAGTTTCTAAACCACGAACAATAGAAAGTAATGAAGATGTGTAGGTAATCTTGGCTTTCTGCCTTCTGCTTTCTTTTTGTTTTAAAGTTTTTTTCGGAGGATTCCCTTATAGTTACAAAAAAGAGACTGACACTTAATTGAGGCAATAGTTAAAAGAAGTTATATGTTCATGTGACATTAGAAGACCTCTGAATTGATATACTGTATTGTGTTCCATCAGTGTGCTGTCAATGTGAGCATAACTTTTAAGTGTCTCAGGAAAAACCCACTATTTTTAATAAAAGGATTCAGTCTGCATGTAATAACAGATTATTGCAGAAGTCTGGTAATACCGACACTAAGAAATGATATGCAGTTAAAATAGCATCTACGTTTCAAAACTTTTTCACTATCAGAAGTAAACAGTCAGTGCTTTGGATATTTGTATTTGATGTACTGTTCACGTGAAGATGCCATTAATAGTTCTTTGATCTTATTCTGACAGATACATGTGCAGCTATGCACAGAAAAACATAGCAGAAATCCCTAATTAACAGTGGACCTAGTTGGTATACTGACTTCTGTCTAGCACTTCTTTTAGCCCTTTTTATTTGAAGTGCCTGGTAAAAAAGGGGTAGAGCAGGTTTTCCAACATGGGGTTTGCTGACCCAGAACGAAATAAATTCTAAAGCAGAGGGAAATACCACAGAAAATTTCTTGCCTTTTTCTCTTGCTCATGTTCTTACTGATTTGTGGTGGTGACATGTGACAAGAGAAACAGTTGAACTCTCAAATCATAGGCCAAAAAATTACAAGTCTCCTTTGAGCTCTGATGTAGCCGTGAAGGTACTTGGTGTTTTTAAAGTAACTTGGAAAATCTCCATGTTCTTTCTGCTTTGGAATTCTTTCATAATGTCTTATTAGCCTTTAGAAAAATTACCTCTTTCAGCCACCTAACTTTAATGTTACTCTATGTTCATTGCCTTTACTCCCATAGTTCCTCATCCATTCCCTCTGTATGTTTATTTTAAACTGTCTGTTGCTTTGATCATAGATCATGTCCTAATCCTGCAAAGAATTTTGTACATTTAAGTACCTGAAGCCTTTCTCACTTAGGAACTTGAAGTTAAATACATGGAGAGGTGTTTGAATGATTAAGGCTTTTTGTGTGTGTGTTTACTTACAAGGTGCCAATTTGACCTCAAAAGGAGCTCTTTGGTAGTTGCTTCAATACTAGTGTAACTAGTAGACCTAATTGAACTGTTTAGTCACTTATGGACAGAGCTGTTCCAGCAAAAGCATTGTGGCTATTGGTCAGATTTCCCTGCATTGATCAGCACATCAACTCGGACAGGAATTCCAAGAGGTACTTCAGCAATTTGAGTTAAAAAAATAAAATGGCATGTTAGCAAGTAGACAGGGATCCTCCTAATGTTACACGTGCATTATTCTTTATACTATACTTTCCACCATTTCTGCTACATGGGCAATTTTAGAGAATTTAGGTGAAGAAATAGATAGTTAGAATAAAGAATTGAGGGCCAATGTCTCAAGCTACTTAAAATATTTCACTTTTAGGGTACGCTTTCAGATTCAGGAGAACATTACATTATGACCTACAGTGAGCCAAGTTGTAATGGTGTAAATTTCACTGTATAATACTGATGAATAGGTTTTTCCTAAAGGCATTACATGCTTTCAGGTATCTTCCTGGATTCACTGCATGGGAGATTTAGAGGTTATTAGGAACAGTTCTAGTTCTTGTTCATTTATGCAGCTACTGGATATGCTACATCATCTAAGGTGATGCAGTGTGAATTCTCTTCTGCTTTTGTCAAGTGTATCTCATTTTCTTTAGTCTGTTTGTATGCCGGTTCCGTTGATAGTTTAGAACCTTTTTCAATCCTTTTGTTTAGGTGAGTGTAAGGAGAACTTTTCTCATTGACTCCTTACCTCCTTAACGTTTGAGCATCTGCCTAATAACAGTTGGCTATTGGCTATCTCTGGGTTAACTCAGGAAAGAATTCTAGGCTTGACTTTGAATTTCTCTGTTTTATGAGTTTAAGAAATATCTGGAATATGCCTGACGGTAACTTACAGATTTTGTGGTTCAAAATAGTGCTTTACTTTAGAGCTGGTCCCCACATTTTTAGGACAGAGGCTAAAACCTCAGACATGTTAACAGCAGTTAATATTTTATGCATGGTTGATATTGCTGTGGTGCATTTTATGATCTGTGAAGCTTTTGGCTGCTAGCATGGGTTTCAGAGATCGTGCCTTACAATTCTTTGGTATATTGTTTTGCATTTTGTGCTTTTCCACCGTCATTGGTATCAGTACATACTCTGAGTAGGGAGAAAAGGGCACAAACTTTCCTTTCCTTTGCGTACATGACTGCACTGAAATCAGCAGAACCACTCTTCATATTTCACACTGGAGTTTAACACATCAGGTAATACATTTTAGCTGATGACAGGTAGCTCTCTTCTTTGTCATGGTTTTAGGTTTGCAATTAAGTTCCCCAGTTAGTTCGCCAACAAAAATAGGTTTACACTCAAATACTAGTTTTACTCACATTTTATTAGTGCATTTTGGAGGAAAGATAGAGTTCAAGCTATGAACTTACTGCTTGTAAACAGGCAATATTCTTATTCTCAGAATAAGGAGTCCTGCTGCCTTCAATAGGTCCCTTGTGTTAGCTGTGTCTAGGAAGTTTTTAATGAGTTATGGGGAGCGGCCATAAAGTTAATTATCATTAATGGAAAGTTGTTGGGAAGGTGTTGACTACAGAAATACAGGACATGCAGTTGTCATACCTTCGCTACTTCCTAGTTTCCCACATGTCAGTGCAGGGACAGAATAGTTTAACTGAATTAGTTAGTAAAAACCAAAAGAAAACAGCATTGGTCAACTAACTTTCAAATCCAGGAGAGTAAACAAATTGCTATACACAACATTTCTACAATATTTCTTCTAGGACAAAGAAGTCTGAAGTACAATTGACCCTTGTAATCAGGTGATACAAACTTTAATGTTAGTGAATAAAAATGCCAGTTTTTGAATGAAACACTAATGTGATTTACTTCCGTTAAATAAAGCTTGATGTAGGGTTTTTATAGGAAGGTGGAAGCAGATTCTGGAAGCTGTTTTTTCAGAAGGAAAGGCAGAGAAGCCACTGGTGTATCTTTGCACCAGAACTACCAGTTCCCTTTTGTTCCCTCACACGTTGATAATATGACTAAGATTATGCATTCAGTTGAATCTGTACATAGTACTTAGTAACTCGCTGAAAACTGACTTTTTTTCCCCTCAGCTTCATACGTCATACTATAGCTACTTTATACTTGGTGTTTGTTAGCAGAGCATAAGTAGATTTATATTACATCGCTCACAAATTGGTGTTGAGAGTCTGTGTAGGTGAAGAGAAGATCCTGGTATTATACTCTATCATTTTTATCAACCTTTCCATTATTTTTTATTTCATAAGGTCTTGCCGGTCAAGTGCAAAACCTCTCATCACTGTTGTGCAGGCCTTTTTTATTTACAAGGATTAAAGTTTCGAACTTTCCTTATGTAAGATCTTACAGGATTG